CTGCTCCAGTTTTGATACATTCCCCCCAGTGTGTTTAGGGAGAGGCAGGCATCACACCAGAAGTGCAGTACCAGTACAGCTCTGCAAGAAAGCAAAGCAAAGGCCAGAAAGAAGGCCAGCAGAACTGGTAAGTATCAGTATCATTACATGCATGTAAACCCCAACAATACATTTCTTTCATTTGTTCCCTTTTGGTCTTTTAAATACACCATTGAAATTATTTTATACATCTGTTCAGGAAGTACAAACAAAACATGACCAATAAACCCAACAGAAATCCTGTAAGTTGATAACAGTAAGCAAAGGCAGAGAGCACAGAAAGTCATCAGTTACCATTGTTTACAGCTCTGTGTTGACTGCAAAACACCAAATCCAAGCACTGGTGAACGTCAATATACGCACATCTTGTTTTGGAGGTTTTGATTTATTTGCAGTTTATTTGTTGGCGAGATTTGTACAATCCCATGGCAGAAGAAAATCTTATTGCTATACTTTTAGGCTGGGTTCACACCTAGGCGTATCGAATATGCGTGTTTTTCGCACGTTTCGTGTCGCGCGATTCGCGGTAAAAAACCGCGCGACAGTCGCGCGTTTCTGAGGGCTACTTAGCTGTATCCCAATGGAAACGCGTGACAAAAACGCTCCAAAGAAGCTCCTGTACTTCTTTGGGCGTAGGGCGTTTTGTAGCGCATTCATACGGCCTGTAATACGCCCAGGTGTGAACCATACCAATAGGAAATAATGGGATTTCGGTGTTTGAGCGTTTTGCAGAGCGTTTGAACGCGCTACTAAACGCCCAAGTGTGAACCGGGCCTTAGTGATCTAGGAGACCGTACTATCACCACACTAGCCTCGTCTTATTGTGACATATGCTTTGATATCATGATGTATTTTAATACAAATACTCAAATGCCATATTTGAGTGTTATACTAGGGGCCTTTATTTTTCGCAAAGGAAACCGAATACCACCATCTCCATCTTGCACAGATTTTTTTCAATTTTTTCAATATTGCAAAGTAGGGCTGCACCAATACTTTGAGCACCAGTGCTGATACTTGGCATTTTCATGAGAACTATCAGGGTTGCAGCAGGGACCTGGCTCTGGTGCTCCACCACTCTCCTGAAATCATTAGTCTGTATTGTTTTAGAAAAACTGTCACATGACAATAAACAAAAATGTATCAGTACTTGTACTCGCAAAACTGGTATTGGTGCATCACTTTATATTTATAAAACCAAAATCATACATTAAAACAGAGATGTACAAATCCCAGGAGCCCCGTGTGCTCCTTACAAATGACAGCTGCCTCCTAACTTTAGAATTTTTCTCTAGTCTAGTCTTGGAGCTGGAAAAGTATCGGTACATGTACCTGTACCAAGTACTGTACTTGGTATCGGTGCATCCCTATTGCATAACATATCTTAAAAAGGAGAACGGGAATACAAATGGGCAGCCATGTCCGGTGCTGGACATTCTCCATCAGTGAGACACGCTGCTCGTCTGTCCGCAGCTTGGAGAAAGTGCACAGGGGAAATGGTCTACACCTAGAAAGGCTGTCCCCAGCATCCCATACGCTGTACTATTTTTTCTAATAATGTAAAGCTATCCCTTTAAAGAGACCCTGTCAAAAGCATACATAGGATATGAAACATTGGCACAAGCTGCAAAGCAGCTCTGCCTCAAACAATGATGTCCAGCACAAAGGCAAACATGCCCACTTGTATTCACATTCTCTTGTTATTTCAAGAAAAAGCTGGAGCTGTGAAAGGGTGGAGATGATCTTAAAGTGTATGTAAACCCCGTCAATGAGCTTATCTTATTTGCTTCCATTTGTTCTGCTAAATAAAACATTGAAAGCATTTTGTGATTGTATCTGCTCAGTAAAAATAAATGCATAACAAACGATGTTGATAATGCCAGAAAACTGATAACTCTGTGTGCACAAGGAGGTGTTGTGAAGATTGGAGAGATAAGAAAGCTGTACCCTTTGTAACCCATCAGAAGTCAGGCAAGGCTGAAACCATGTGCTTAGGATTTAGGACAGACTGTTGTAGACACTTATAGGAATTACGGCATCTGTTTGCATGACAAATATTGCAACTAGTATTTCAGTCAACGACAGATTTTATTTACCCATCAGAAACAGGTACAAGAAACGGTCGCCATGAATGCAAGGCGGGAGTGTCCATAATGGATTTTTTTCCGGCTCAGAGTTGCTGAGCTCTCTGCCTGACCACTGTGTCAGTCACAGACAGGTTCAGTGGCTGTGGAGTTTTGCAGTGGGTGGATGTAGCCTGATGGGGACTCAGACTAGTCCTCATCAGAGGCACCTTACTTGTGATTTGACAGCAGACAGCAACAGGAGGGGTTCCATAATTACTGGCAGATAAGGAATCCCCCCCACTGTTCCCAGTCAATCATGAGAGGTGGACCCCGATGGGGAACTAGTCTGAGTTCCCCATCAGGCTGCGTCCACTACCTTTCAGCCACATTTAAATTTGCTGTGGAATGTGCAGACTACAGGCTCCTAGCAACCAATGATGCCCTACCCAGATGCTAGCCATAAGAGTCACTGGCCAATAGCCAAATGTAAACAAATGAGTGGGGGATGCTAGCTGACACCATTTCCCAAGTATGGCAATGCCCATATTTGGGCAACAATGTCAGCCAGCATCCCCATTCCTTTGTTTACATTCAGCTGCTGGCTGGGGAATCTCCAAGCTGGCAGCTGAAGGGGCAAGGGATGAGTCAATGGTTGCTAGGACACCAGTGTCCCAACAATCAATGAGCCCTCAACAGAAAGCTGCCACATTCATGTCATCTTCCAAGCACATACATGCCCCACACCGAGCACTGGCATCTCTGTACAGCAGTTCAGATTTTGCCTCAATTAGCTCCAGCTTCTGGCGGTAATTCTTTTTGAATCTGTTGCAGCCATAGTGACAGGTACTTAAAGTGGCGTAGGCGTAAGCCGTAGAAAGACTTTCATGAATTAGGTGCAGGTGGTTTTAAAACATACATCCAGGATGTCATAGCACTTCCTCAAACTCAACCTTTCCAAAACTGAGCTTATAATTTTTCCTCCTGTGACCCCTCCTCTGACTTTTCCCCAGCACATTGATCAACTCCTCCCCCCATGACAGGGTGCTCGGTGTAATCCTCAATTCTGACCTCTTTCAGCCCCACATGCAGGCACTATCCAAAGCTTGCCGACTCAACCACTGCAACATTTCCAAAATTTGACCCTTTTAACAAATACCACAAAGTTTTGTAATTCACTCCCTTATACTCTCTCGCCATGACTATTGTAACTTCCTCCTGTTGACCTACCACTAGAAAGTAGTGAAGCACCTATACCAGTATCAGTGCCTATACTGAGCATTTGCACAAGTACTGGTGCAAATGCTCCGATACCAAAAACTGATGCCAGTGCTTTAAGTATGCAAATTGAAGTGGCTGCCATAGGTCCCGTGCTTGTTGGGGACCTCATGGCAGCCTTCTTGGGAACCACCCAGCCCTGATTACAGTGATCCCGCTGGCCCACACATCCACCTCCTGAGACCCTCCACCCAAGGCATCAGGCCAGCACCCTGGAGCAGAGCAGCCTCTCTGCCAACCTCTCCACTTGGCCAACAAATACATTTCAAAATACTACAAATCTACAAAACTGCCCCCAAACATCACCAACCTCATTTTTGAAGCGCCACCCAGTCCTCTCAAGACCTCCTGCTCACCAGGTCCCCCCTCACCTCCTCCTATGTTCGCCTCCAGGACTTCTCCAGAGACTCTCCCACCCTCTGGAACTACCTACACCAATCTGTCCGCTTATCTCCTACTCTGTCCACCTTCAGGCGATTCTTGAAAACTCACTTTGGGGAAACCTATCCTACCGCGACATAACTGTCCTTTTACTTCTTCCATTAGCTCATCACACACACAATTACCTTTTCTACCACCATCCTCCTACCAGATTGTAAGCCTTCACAAGCAGGCTCTCGTCACCCTCTTGTTTTGATATGGTAACTGTACTGTCTCCCTCCATATCGCAGAGCGCTGCACTAACTGTTGGCGCTATAAAAATCCTGTATCATTTTTTTAATTCCCCTAAATGGGTCGTTAGCTCAAATAGGAAAGTAGGACGACACCAACAGGGCTATTCACAAAAGAGTGACGTTTGGAGAATGAACAATTTAGGACAACATGGCTGATTTGGACAAAATTTGCCAATTCAGCTCACTTTCCAGTTCAGCTATGTTGTCCTCAATGGTTCACTTCTCCTGCCTTCTCCAGACCCACCCTTTTGTGAATAGCTCTGTATATATATTTCTTGTACGTAGTTATTTTTCTGTACTTGTGTGTTTAAATGGATAAAACAAGGGAAATACTAGAATTTCTTTTACTATTTTGCCTTGACATCCTTTTAAATGTTAAGACTTCTTTTTGCAGGGAGCACGTGAATTTATTCTCAGATAGTTAGCGACAGGGTCACTTTATGGGAATCAATCTGCTAAGGGGACAGGTAAATTGTTGCTTATAAAAAAGCCATCAAAAAAAAAAAAAAAAAAAAATACCTT